CCGACACAAGACGACGTTATAATCGTCCCAAATTGAAACCTGTCACGAATGAAGCAATCCTACGCCATGCTCAGATTAAGTACGCAGCCACGCCCACTGCGTCTCAGAGTTATAGAGCGTGCTTGAGACTAAAAGACACTTGCTTGTCACCACAAGTCAAAAAGAGACCTGACTAAGGCTCTCCTTTTGTGAACTATCATGATTTTGGCTACTCAGGATCACCTAGAAATGATAACCCATTCTGCCTTGTTAGCAGTAGTGTCACGCACATTTGACGATTGCCCCTCAGTACCCTTGAAATTTTTCCTCATTTTTCTGACGAACAGCCAATAGTCTGCGGAATTTCAGGATGACGGCGGTGATCCTCTAACTGGCTACGTGATCGAAGCACAGGACATGGACAACAAGGGCAAGTACATCGAGGTGAGTACGAAAAGGTCACAAAACTGGAGGGGCGTTCTCACAGACCTAGTCCAGCACAGGCTCCAGAGGGGTTAAAGCATTATTGTTTGCCCACAATAGTCTCCTTTCAATTCTGCAAAATAGTGTTTTGCGTCGGGAACCCGTTCCAAGCAGTCAGAGTCATGTCGGGGACCAGTAACGGACGCTATTTTGTTCAACAAGGAAGGACAGTCGAAAATTGTGGCCACATGATTTCCAGCAAACCGAATCCTCTTCCTCAAAGGTCTTTCGAATTCGACCCTCCACCACTCCCCTCCCCCCCCCCCCAAGAAAGCGTATTCAGCGGGCACTCCGTTGCCTAATTCTCTCATCAGCATTTCCTTCATGTCTTCGATAAAATCTAGTCTTCAGGTTGGTCGCACTGACGGCAAAACTACTCAGATGAAGGTGAAAGGTCTTCGAAATAAGGGAAACTACAAATTCCGGTAAGGCACCCATCCATTTTTCAAGAGGACCATTTTAGAATTTCTTCCTTTCTTTTAGGGTAAAAGCTGTGAATAACGAGGGCGAATCTGAACCCGTTGACGGCCGATCAATACACGTTGATAAAGGTAGCTGTGTACACATTTTCTTTTTTTTCTCCTCTTTGTCGAAATATTGCTAGCAGAACCTGAAGACACAGTTCAGGATCCATGGGATGAACCTGGAAAGCCTGGACGGCCAGAGGTCACCGATTACGATGCAGATCGAATTGACTTGGCTTGGACTCCTCCAACAAAAGATGGCGGAGCACCTATTGAGGGCTACGTTGTTGAAGTCCGCGATCCCGACACGAAGGAGTGGAAAGAAATCGCCAAAGTTCCAGGTATTTTTTGATCAACAGCTTTCCCATATGTGAACGTGCATTTTTCCAAATGAATATTTTCAGACACAAAACGCTCAATCAAAGGACTAAAAGAAGGCAAAGGAGTTATCAGTCGAAAGTAAAGCATTTAACAAAGCTGGCTTGGGACATCCATCCGATGCATCCGAAAAGCAGCTGGCCAAGCCGAAATTCAGTAAGTTCTGCTTATCGAGATTATATCATCATTTTCTGCCTTCAATGAGCATTTCACTCTGCACCACGAGGTTTTAATTCACTAGGGTGGGGAAACAAACGTTTTTGGCCACCAATTACCCGTCGACTCGCTTTAGGTTGTTATTCTATCCGAGTCTATCCCCAGTATTCAATTATTTCTTGCCTCCTGATTTTCGCACTCATTAACGCAACCTTCAAAACGTTTTGACGCGAAAACGTGGGGGTGGGTCAAAACACCTCAAGTCAAGTCACGGAATTCTTCAAGAATTTGTCGACAGGGAGAGTTGAACCTTCTTAAGCACGTTGACGACGGTCGGCAATGCGTCGGGGCGACAAGCCAGTCTGTCTCATGGGTGACCGTGTCGGAACAGATTGCTGTTCGACAGCCACTGCTCTTAATAATAAAGACCGGCGAGCAAAACAAGTATGAACTTCGAAAGATTATCTAGTAGGCAGACAGTAGACTGGAAGTTCTTTGAATCGAACAGCAAGTGAGTTTGGCACGGACTGACCAGCGGCACTTGGGGTTAGCTTAACCGCCAATTTACAACGAAATGTTTACCCCCCCCCCCACAATCGCTTGCCCCACAAAACTGCTTGGGCCCGCGCCAAAATTTGATGTCGCTAGATTCATCAAATTTGCTCTGCGACGAGTGAACTGAGCCGCTAAACAAAATATCGTGTCCACTTAACGCCGCTGACGAGGGATTTCCTGGTCAATGGTGACGACAGAAAGTTTGTCTTGTGGAACGGCGTCGCCTCAGTGCTGTCCCACAGTTATTATATAACTCAAAATCTGCGCGATTGTTTCACTTACTTTTCATAAAATTAGTTCCAAGAACAAACATTTTCGGGTCGAGGGCAAGCGATATTGTTCTTTATGAGATCAAACCACCCCGGAAGACAAATTTAGATCTGTCTCCAGGAGGACAGAATGTGGTTCTTAAAAAAATGCGCCTGATTTTGAGAGATTGGAGCTAAGAGCAAGTCAAAGATTTCGAGATTCGGCTGTACTCGTCTCTTGCATTTCTCGATACATTTTGATCGTAGTAATTCATTTATTTGGAAATTACTAAGTTTCAATGCGGAAAAATGTGCCGTCCCACGCGCAAGTCATGGGAAAAATGGCTCGTCGTCAACGTGTTAAGTAGCGGACCACGATTGCTGAAGGCGGGCGGACGTTGCCAGCGTCATTGGTGGAAAGTGGTTTGGTCACACCTCATTCAGCTCTCCCACCAATGACAGAGGCGACAACCGCCTGTCCCCAGCATTCCTGCCCACTGTCTTCAACACGAATCCCAATCCGTCAGCGAATACGACGATAGTGCGAGGAATTTCGGTCCATTGTTTTATGTAATATTTTGTCCTTAAGGAACGGTAAGAACCCCGTAGGGACTCCAGTCCGAATTTGAGCCCAGTGAATATTTCGGGATCCCTGGAGTTCTGGGTGAGGCATTTCTACAAGCATTCTTTGTTTAGCAGAGGATTTAGGTTGTGATCCAGGCCTCCATGATCTTTTGACAGTTCGATTTCCATTAATTCAATTAGCTAATATCTGCGTTTAGTTCCGCCTGGTTGAAGCAGCGACTGCTTTGAAGAGTATCACACGTAAAAAGCCTGCGTCACTCCGTCCGCTTGGCTTGGGAAGTGAAGATTGGTGGAGAACCCGTGCCGGAAGTAGTCTGGACGAAGGGAGACAAACCGATCGAGCCATCACTCAATCTTAGCATTGACACCAAGAAAAACGACCACACTATTTTGTGCATTCCCTCAGCAGTACGCGCCGATAGGGGAGAGTACCGGTAAGTACTTGTGACCTATACCTTACACGTGAACGAGCCTCACAGGTCGGAGTGAGCGACGTTCTCAAAAGCCACATCGACACCATGCTATCATATTTCAGACTGTCCGTGAAAAACGCATATGGTCACGATACAGAAGTGGCAAACTTGACTGTACTGGATCGACCATCAAAGCCGAATGGTCCTCTGGAAGTGACAGATGTCTTTGAGGACAATTGCAATCTCGCATGGAAACCTCCTGGCAAGTTATTTCTCGCTTTTGTTTGCGCATATGAGTTTCTTAACAATCTCTCAAAAACTTGGACAAACAACGGACGAGCGAAGCTACGCTCGGAGTGATTCGGGAAGTCAAGACTTGGATAGCCTGGGGGATTATTCCCACTGATTCCGAATGTCTATCATTAGCAAACTCCTAGAGAACGGACGGGGGAAAATGTTACAGGAAACACCTTATCGCGTCATAATTGATGTGAAAGAAGCCGGTACAGAATTACCTGCTTTTCGGGCAGACAAGCGGGAAGGTTCTCAACTGACTCAATAACGATATGGTACTTACTGAAGAGCGCATTTTTAGATTCAAGCCTCAGTTAGGGATATTCTAATTCCGTGATCCGCTTCTCTTTTCTGCTGAAATCCGTATAGAGCGCTCAAATGGAGTTAGAACGACAACCGAACCACGATTCAACCGACAGAATTCGAAAGAGGCAGTGGGCAGCGATGGTTGTGGCTGGCTCGGCCTAAAAATGCTAGTAAGGACGCTGACTATAGTCAAGAAATGGCAATAAGAAGCGGAGCTGAAACGGTTCAACACATCGGCGAAGAAAAAGCCTCCGTTCTCAGTGACTTGAAAATCGATTTCGGACGAGTTTCCCGTACGCATCTTGCCAATCACCGCTACCGAAGATACGGCTGCATATGTGTACCCATATATGCATGCAGCACACCGGCCATCTTCCATACCAACCTCTTTCGCCATTCATGGATTCGCGCTCAGCAAATGAATGAATACGAGCGTCAGGAACGGTCGTCCGTTTGTGGGCGGGCGGGCGAGGAAGGCGTTTGGGACGTAAAGTTGTGGCTCGATAAAACCCTTATAAGGTCACCTTACTCGGGGAAACCGCTATGCAGCGCCTGTCCGAGGTAACGGAATTCTGTTAAGCCGGTCGTATAAATCCTACATCTGTATAGCGATTTATCGTGCCAACTGCCTTTAAGGAGGTGGAAAGGGTCGCAGCCGCATAGATTATGCCACTTTGGCCAATCCGAAATGCTTGGCAGTCGCGGTCTGCGATAGCCGCAAGCCTTGCCGCCCTTGCCCATATACAGTGGTTACGTCGCCGCAAATGACGCGCAGATAATGCGCGTCGGGCGCACTACTATTCTCCACATGCTACTAGACGCGCGATGCAAGCCAGACAGGCTAGTGTCAACATGATATCAGTCTGTGAACAAAATCTACCAACTATGCCCCTCATACAGTCTCGAAACACAGGCGGCAGGCGCGCATCGATCGAAACGGGAACCGATTGGCACCAGCCGTCTCCGGCTGCATTCGCGTCTATGGCCTTAGGGCGCTGTTGCAATCGTAGCGCGTTGACGCGTGCTACAGAGCGTCGACGCGCGTCATCGCGAATACTGAACGCTGCCTTACTGGACGAGTGCTTTCCTTGAACTACTGTGTGGGCTTTTCTCAACCTGATAAGGTATGACTCTCACCCGCGCTTGCCTGGTATTTCATTCATGGAATAGGCGTCTCTGCGCCTCTAATCACACCCAGCGTGTCATTTTAAATGTAATATTGACCGGCAATCCTTAGGCTGCGTTTATACTTTGCGGCAGCGTAGCGTAGCGTAGCGCAGCGTAGCGTAGCGCTTCCAGCGTACGCCAGCGGCAGTGCCGAAGAGAGGATGCATATCGAATCACTTTTGTTTCATAGCTTCACCATGTCACCAGCGGCACGCTGGCGTACGCTAGCGTACGCCAGCGTTTCTCCAGCGTTTCACCAGCGTTTTGCTAGCGCTTGCAGCGGCAGGGGAGTAGAGACTATGTGGCCGTGAGAGAAGCGGAGTCGGCTTGTATTGTAGAGACCATATGGCCGTCGGAGACGCAGAAGCGATGTGCATTGTAGAGACTATGTGGCGTCGGAGACGCAGAAGCAATGTGCATCGTAGAGACTATGGGGCCGTCGGAGACGCAGAAGCGATGTGCATTGTTAGAGATAAGGCGAGGGGAGACGCGCAATCGATGAGTTTTGTACCCTCCAGCTCTCCCATAGTCTCTACTCCCCTGCCGCTGCAAGCGCTAGCAAAACGCTGGTGAAACGCTGGAGAAACGCTGGCGTACGCTAGCGTGCCGCTAGCGTACGCCAGCGTGCCGCTGGTGAAGCTAGATCGATATGCATCCTCTCTTCGGCACTGCCGCTGGCGGTACGCTGGAAGCGCTACGCTACGCTGCGCTACGCTACGCTACGCTGCCGCAAAGTATAAAACGCAACCCTCATTTCTCCCGCTGGATGAATCTGCTAGCACTTACAAATCCATGTTCGAGCGCCTTTACCATTTGAAATCAAGAGAAAAAACCCTCAGCGCCTTCCGTTCTTGATGACCTTTGTTAGCAAGACGGTTTTGCGTATCCTTATCCTCAAGGCTCATTCTGAGTGTCCTTAACCAATGTTGGGCAATATATCATGCATTTTCTTAAAGAGTTTATCAACGGTGCCGAAGTTCTGAGAGGTCTAATATTTTTAGATGACGATGGAGGTGAACCCATCGAGTATTATGAAGTCGAGAAGTTGGACACGGACACAGGACGCTGGGTACCTTGCGCAAAGGTAATCTGAAAGAAGCTGTAATATCAAAACAAATGAGGATAAAAATGAATCATTTAGGTGAAAGACACTAAAGCTCACATTGACGGACTGAGAAGGGACAAACCTACAGTCACGACGTGAAGCAGGTGATAAGGAGGGGGCTCGCATTCAGATCCTCCTGACTACAACAGAGCAGCAACCAAAGGCGACAAAACCCTTATGGTATGTCTAAGAATTACATCGTCTTTCTCCAACCGAGCCACTTAATGGTTAGTGTATTTGAGTCTGATACAATAATTGAATATGGTTTTTCTAGATGAACCTGGAAAACCGCAAAACCCCAGAAGTGACTGATTGGGATGCCGACAGGGTTTCTCTGGAGTGGCAACCACCAGATTCTGATGGAGGAGCTCCTATCACTCAGTATATCATTGAGAAAAGAGGAAAGCACGGACGCGCGACTGGCAGGAATGCGGAAAGGTAAGCCGAACATCGACACACTCGAATTCCATATGCATATCTTTCTAGATCTTTGTGACTTTTGCAAGGAAGGAAACTATTCAGGTATCCGGAGATGAAACTACTGCCACGATTTTGGGATTAAAAGAAGGAGAAGAGTACCAATTCCGAGTGAAAGCTGTTAACAAAGCTGGTCCTGGAGAGGCGTCCGATCCAAGCCGAAAAGTTATAGCCAAGCCCAGAAATCGTGGGTTTTAGTGATCCTGTGGTCACTCTAGGGACCAACTCTAGGGACCCTTTCTGAACACCGTTA